AATATGTAATATTATACAAGGACAATTACTTTTTCTGACGTGCGACAATTGTATTTGATTCTCTATTCCTAACAACGCTCTCTCTATCACATAAGTGAGAATATTTGTTCAGTTCAAACGGAACCGGATCCCAATAATCTGAGCTTAAGGATCAAATGATCCAGGCCATTGAAATTTCATTCAATGGTTGCAAACAGGAGATCTCTCTAAAAGTTATAATAATTGTAGCAATTTGATTAAATTTCAACGGCTTAGATCAAATAATTTTTGAGCTTAAATTATTGGGATCCGTAGAGGCAACGTGCCAACTCTATCTGCAACTTCATTTAAGAATTTAATTATTTGAACTGGTTTAGGACTTTGAGGCCTCAAATTCCTCCTAATGTGGGATTTGATGCCATTGTAGGGCGGCTAATTGGATGACTCAAAAAGGGGTGGAATAATAGAAGGGAAAGATATATACACGTAACCAACCGACCAAGGAACAATTGGTTGGTTTCTTGGTGAAGCACGTGCGGTGCGAAGTTGGTCGATTAATTATATTGTTAAACAGTCACAAATATTCAATTGTAATGCTGACCCTTTCAAAGGAAGCTCCACTATATGAGGACCAAACAAAACCTATGATGCCATGCCCATGTATTTCGTAAGCCTGCATGAGCAATATACCATATAAATATTAATAAGGAAATGGTTTTCAATCATTTTCACGTTACACACTTCTCTGTTTAATACTAACTCTTTATTTCATTTTATTATTTAATTTGATGATCATAAATTAAGAAATTCGTGTTAAAAGTTAAAATGAGTGTGCGAAAATTACTTTCCTATATATATATATGTGTGTGTGTGTAATAAGTATAGGTATAGACATTGACAGATCCAAGATTTAAATCTTGGGGATCATAGTGTTAAATACAAGTTTTTTAAATAGGAAAAGAGCGTGAAGCGCTCAAAAAAAAGAAAAAAAATCAATTTATTCACTTGGTGGGCTTGTTATGCACATGTCAATAGATATCGGCATGCGCCGAAACAATCTGATAAGTAATTGTTGACCCGAAAAATTACAAAACCTACGTGGCGCGCAGGCCAAGTAACTAATAAGCTAACTACGTCATTCGGTTGAATGCGGGGCGTGCCAACTCGTCGACCGATCTCGGCCGAGGAGTAAAATTTGTTGATGTTGCGTTGCTGACTTCTTTATCTTGCGACTGCAGCCAAGGAGGGAACAAATCTCGGCCTTTGGATTCTCGACACTAAAGACAAGGCTACTAGTTCTGCGAAGTTCCCAAATCGTTGGCGCCATATTCGGTCACAATGATTATATTCATGAGAGTATAAGCACGTCGAATCGACACCAGACTGTACGGACACAAGTATTCAAAGGTGATGTATGTCTTGATGGTGAATGTGGTTTGGCCGTCAAAATGCCGAAGTTTGAAACTTACTTGTGAGTATCCAATCATAATATCACTCGGCGTTCAATGCGCCGAATGTCGTAACTCGTAACACCTTACTTCGCTAAGAAGGCTAATAAGATAATCTCTGCCAATAAGGATTCGAAAACCCTTCTCGACCGAGACTTGGATAGGTAACCAGTCGGCCTTGACGCAGTGCTGTTTATCCAAACTGAAGGTGCTCCTCGATCGACTGATTCTACGGCAACAGTGTTGTTTATCCAAACTGAAGGTGTTCGCCAATTGCCTTCACAGTGCTGTTTATCAAAACTGAAGATGTGTCGGCAGGAAAAAGAAAATAAAAAAAATCTCAAGATATTTGAGAGGTTTTGCGCAGGGCAGTTGTGTGTTGAATTGGAGGTCCTTTTCTGTTTTCTACGCATCTCGTATTTATAGGACTATCATCTCGATGGCCGTCATGTTTTAAAACTGTCGTCAATACCAATGCTTCCTCCTGCATAACAATCTCATGCAAGACAAAAGATTGTTATGCCTTATCACTTACCAGCATGACACCATCACTTGCTAATTAATAGCATATACCCATTATTAGCATATATCTTTATGCTGATAAGCATCCTAATTTGAAATATGCCAATAACCTTTATGCACGGCTAACCAACTCCAAGCACACGTGGAGTTGATTCTCTGTTGATTACGCATCTTGGTATCCCATTTAAATGTATGCATTAATCTTCTCTGCCAATCAATATCCGTTTGCCAACCAACGTCGCAATATATTAAGACTCTTAATAAAATGCTCTAATGCTCCAATCCACCACGCATCTAAACTCCAAGAATCCCAAATCAAATTGAACTGTATTGCTTGCTTTGGGGATATAATTTGCATCTCATCTATCTTGTACAAGATAATATCAAGATAACTCACAATTAAAAGATAATTATTAATATAAAAAGATCATAATATTACCCCTTAACAATAATAAAATTATCTTCACATTTATCTGACGGTGTGGAACTATGCTTATTCAACGGCCTTGATTGCACGACCGATGATGTAAATTTGATTCCAAACAGCAATATAGAGAGAACTTGTCTAGTATTGTCAATGCAACATGTCGAAATATGCCTAGCATGCATTGCACCGAACATTTAATAGGCACAAAAGGGACCTGTAATAACATTCGGAAGGTCATCAGAAAACCTTCACATGTATATTTTTCGAACTTGGATGGTCCTGGGACCACCTTGGTCCCTACTTCTATCCACCCCAGGGTATAGGGAAGAACATATTATAAATAGTGTGCATATTTGACCGTATGTATTGGCCATATAGGAAGGGTTGAAAAGATACCATAATGTTGCTGCTGCTCAACAAACATCCCATCCCGCCATTAAAAAAGGGGGTATTTTTTCTTCGAAGTTTCACCCATGCAATGTACGTACTCAAGTTCAATTCTAATCCCCACCAACTGTATTTTATTTTATAGTTGCGTAGACTCGTAATTCCAATATTACAAGCAATTTTCTCCTCCATCTCCAAACTGTCCTTTATATTCCCTCCCCCCCCCCCCCCCCCCCCCCCCCGCTTTTTCTGTAGATAGATTGACATTGGCGAAGTAATATATTCTACTTTTAGAACGAGTCATCTTCTACGTACAATAAAACCTTCTATATATATATATATATATATATATTATATAGCTATAACATTGAGACCGAACCAATTTTATTACTATTACTTAATAGAGGCATAATTAAAAAATATATATATATTCTTTTACTTAGCTATTCTTAATGAAAGTTGAATAAATACAAAGAATTACGTGTAGTGAAGGATGTTAATTTTCAAGTTGTAACATTAGAAAAGTAGACACCTAATTATTCAAGAGAGACCTATTTCATGCAAAATGTTGTGTTTAAAAAATAACTCAAGAAATATGAAGTATTTGATAGATTGCTATGAGTCTGGTATGGTAAACAAAGGATTTGCTAGAGGATAAGTATGAAATTATGATCTATTTTATCAATACGAAACATTTCTCACATGAAGAATATATGATTTTCCTACATGTTATATACTTGTTTGGATTATAAACGAAAGACATGAGACTTTGTACCATAGGGAGGACTTACATTTGAAACCTTCCCTACACTCCCCCGATGTGATGTGAGCTCAAGTGCAACTGATTGCATACCATTTTTTATCTCTCTTATCACGTGACGATAGATAAATTGTATGCAAAGCGTTACACGCATGTTTCTCCTCGGTGTGAAAGGGCTGTTGACGAAGAAGTTCTCCCATGCATGTTTTAAGGGGTTGTTTGGTATTCAGTTTGAGACTTGATAGGATGTAAAATGAAAAACTAGCGTAAGTAGCTTATGGGGGAGTACAAATTATATTTGATTTATGTCAAAACACATGGACAAGAGTAGATTAAAAGCTGTGTTATGGATCTAGTTTAGACAACTATTTTCCTTTCAGGGTGCCTAATGTCCGAGAAAAACTGCGTTATTAATCTATCTTGTGCAACTACTCATCAGTCGATATCTTCGGTAGACCTCTTCTGAGGTAGCTGCATGCTCATGATGTCTTCTCTTTCGAGATGATACATCGATCCAGTACCTTGCTGCCCAGTTTCCGTTTTCTTACTTTCAGGTGTTGTTACGCGATTCCAGCCAAATACAATCCCACACCGGAGAATCCTAATATTCCAAGAAAGACAATGCCCACAACATTGAAGTGGTTGTGAAGAAGCAACTTGATAAATCTACTCATCAGGTAGTATACAATTATGGCCATCAGCAGAGAACCAATGATCCAAGTGAGGGCTGAAACCTGCAATTGGAGACATATAACATGGCTGATAAAAACGATTTTTCAAGCTATGGAGCATACAACAGTTTCAGATTGGCTTACTCTAATAATGTGAAATAACGAGTTTACGGGAAATTCATAAGTGCTTTATCTATGCAATGCTGAAGTATGCTAAGCAATCGACGCTCTAGAAACCTTCTAGAAATAAAACTAAAGGACTTGCAATCAAATTTATAACAATTGACTAGCAACATATGTCCGTTGTAAATCTTACCGCAGTAGAGTTGGCATGTGTCCCCATCTTTGTCTTGCAACTTGTGAACTTGAGAAGTGGGATAAGAGAAAAAGGCAGCTCAAATGATAAAATCATCTATACTCACAATGTCAGAATTAAGATTTGTGGTCAGTGACACAAGTGTTGTATTTTGACGAGGACATGAGCTACTGGACGCAGAAATTACCGAACATAAAACATTGGTTTTTCAACTTTAAATTATTAATTATATGCATTATCCAACTTGTTCTTGTACAGTCCACAAACGCAGCACGGTATCAAGGTGAATGATGCAATTTGTTCCATAAATTTCTAAACAAGTAATAGACAAGGACAAATGACATGTCCAATAGGCCAAGATGGAAAAGCTTCAACTTCTTACTCATGTCACATTTTTCCTTCGATCCGTTCCACTTGTAACGTAGTGCAAATGGTTAAATGCCATACAGATGTGGTGAGTCTGGTGGGCTCTCTCCTTATAAAACCACATTAATTAGCCGCTGTTCTTGTGTTTTGCCTCCCCTTATAAAATTATCTCTTTCGCTCCCAACAACCCCAAAAAAGAAAATCTGTATCGTATCTCGTCCGGAAACAAAGCTAATAACCAAGATGCCTGCCGATAGCTCATCAGTTTCCGGCCACGACCAAACTATTTGTGTCACTGGAGCTGGAGGCTTCATTGCTTCTTGGATGGTGAAGCTATTCCTCGAAAGAGGCTACACTGTTAGAGGAACCTTGAGAAACCCACGTAGTTCAAATCATTAACATCTTCTAGGCTTGCATTCACAATTTCACAGATAATTCGACATGTTATGTTGTTACGTTGTTATCAGACCGAATTATAATTATTGGTTACTTAATTATGTTTGCACGTGCAGTTCTTCTTTCAAAATATTCAGTAGATATAATTCGGAATTTGACAGCGTAACATGCCATCCATGTTGCAAGACGTGTGCATCAGTCATTGTTCTTTGTGCGTTTATGCTTTATTTTTTGTGTGGTTTTCTTATTTTGGTTTTGGTTATAGATGACCCAAAGAATGCTCATTTGAGAGAGCTTGAAGGAGCTGCAGAAAGACTAACTTTGTGCAGAGCTGATCTCCTTGATTATGAGAGCCTCAAAGAAGCCATTAACGGCTGTGATGGAGTTTTTCACACAGCATCACCTATCACGGATGATCCAGTGAGTTTTCTTTTCCCTTGACTTTCTCTTCTGCTTTTCTGTTTTTCTGTGTATAATAACAAGTACAAGAATTGTTTGCTCTCTCACTTTCGGTGCTCTTCCGTGCTCTTCTGTTTGTGTGGTCACAATTAAGCCATATCAACATTTTATATTACTATTCATTTTTGTCTCATTATCTCTATAAAAAAAATAATATAAAATATTGACGTGGCTTAACTGTAACCACACAAAACAGGAGGGCACCGGAAGTGGGAGGGCAAACAATCTTTGTCCTAATAACAAGGTGTTGAACTTGGACAAGGATTGTCTGCTCTTCCACTTCTGGTGCTCTCCTGTTTGTGTGATCACGGTTAAACCACGTCAACATTTTATATTACTATTTATTTTTGTCTTATTATCTATATAAAAATAATAATATAAAATATTAACGTGGTTTAACTGTGATCACACAAAACAGAAGGACACGAGAGGACAGGCAATCGTTGTCTCTTGAACTTAGACGTAACCCACAAAAGAAAGAAATCACTGTACTTTTTACTAGAAATAGAAAAATTTGACCTATTTTATTTTCATTAGAAATAATATATGATTATGCAATCCCAAAAATAGTACTATTCAATTCTAGCCTAATATGTATGTACAGGAACAAATGGTGGAGCCCGCGGTGAACGGAACCAAGAATGTGATTCAGGTAGCGGCGGAAGCCAAGGTGAAACGGGTGGTTTTCACGTCGTCAATCGGTGCGGTGTACATGGACCCCACCAGGGGTCCTGATGTGGTTGTTGATGAGTCTTGTTGGAGTGATCTTGAATTTTGCAAGAACACCAAGGTTAGCAGAGCCATAATTATATATAATTTTCTTATTATATATTAGATAGAACACAACAGAGAATCATTGGAAAAAAAAAAATAAATAAATAAATAAAGAAGAAGAAACAAATACTCTATTTACTATTATTAGAATAACAATGATGCTGTAAATAAAAAATGATGAAAAAATATATATAACGCATTAGTCATCATTTTGATGTAACTACAACCTATTTTTTTGGCTCTTGTCACCATTTTCTCATTGGTGACATCATTATCCAACAAAAGCTACCAAAATAATTACTAAATGTAATAGTTGTTGCTCACTTTTTTTGTAGTGAATGAAAATATACATATGCGTTGTGATCAAAAGCTGGAGAAAAATCTACTAGTTAAAAATAAATTTTTTGGTCAATTGGGATGCATGAGTATTGTGACATCTCACATCGCCCAGGGGAGTAATCCTTAAATGTATATTCTCATCTCTACCTAGCACGAGGCCTTTTGGGAGCTCACTGGCTTCGGATTCCGTAGGAACTCCGAAGTTAAGCGAGAAGGGGGCTAGAGCAATCCCATGATGGGTGACCCACTGGGAAGTTGCTCGTGAGTTCCCAAAAACAAAACCGTGAGGGAATGGTAAGCCCAAAGCGGACAATATCGTGTTACGGTGGTGGAGCGGGCCCAGGAAGTGATCCGCCCAGGACCGGGATGTGACAATTTGATATCAGAGCCTAACCCTGGTCGTGGTGTGCCGACGAGGACGTCGGGCCCCTAAGGGGGGTGGATTGTGACATCCCACATCGTCCAGGGGAGTGATCCTTAAATGTATATTCTCATCTCTACCTAACACGAGACCTTTTGGGAGCTCACTGGCTTCAGATTCCGTAGGAACTCCGAAGTTAAGCGAGAAGGGGGCTAGAGCAATCCCATGATGGGTGACCCACTGGGAAGTTGCTCGTGAGTTCCCAAAAACAAAACCGTGAGGGAATGGTAAGCCCAAAGCGGACAATATCGTGCTACGGTGGTGGAGCGAGCCCGGGAAGTGATCCGCCCCGGGCCAGGATGTGACAAGTATAGACTTGGTTGAACATGCAAAATCAATATAAAAGAAACAATTTGGAAAGAAAAATCAATATAGAAAAAAAACCCAACATATAATTTATATTACTTTTGATAATTTGACAATGAATTAACAAATAAAAATTAAATTGCAGAATTGGTACTGCTATGGGAAAGCAGTGGCAGAGCAGGCAGCATGGGTTGAGGCCAAAGAGAAAGGGGTGGACTTGGTGGTGGTGAATCCAGTGCTGGTGCTCGGACCACTTCTGCAATCAACTGTCAACGCTAGCACCATGCACATCCTCAAGTACTTGACGGGCTCAACCCAGACATATGCTAATTCAGTTCAAGGCTACGTGCATGTTAGGGACGTCGCACTGGCTCACATTCTGGTCTATGAGACACCCTCTGCCTCTGGCAGATATATTTGTGCTGAGAGTGTGCTCCACCGTGGCGACGTGGTGGAAATCCTGGCCAAATTCTTCCCGAAATACCCTATTCCCAACAAGTAAGTGCAACATCATTATCCTTGTCAATTTTGGCACAAACCCTTTTACTGAGTAGTTGAGTATACATAGTAAATTTTCTTGTTTTTACCACTGATATTAATGTTGTTATTAGGTTAGTTTTGTGACTTTTGTTTCTTACAAAGATAAAGATGTCTGGTTAGATTTTGGTAAAATGAAATGTTAATTACAGTCGTTCATGCATGCGTAGACAATTTCAAAACATTGATTTTTTTATTTATGCATGCGTAGATGACTCTTAAGTCTTAAGTCATTGATCTAATGTAGGACGGGTGGACGTCCATAGAATTGGCCATGCAAGATCACAAATGTTTAGGCTTTATTTTCTGAGCATACTACAAATAGACATTCAACTTCAAAAATTTAGGGTTTTTAATTGTTAGTAAGACTTGTTGGGCTACTCTTATTTATATACATACATACATACATACATACATACATATATATAATCCAACGCATGTCGATATGAATATTTCTCCATTTCTAAATTTAAAAAATAAGGATTTATTTTATGATTCGACACCTGATTATGGAAGACATGTGTAAGCTTTTGATTGCATGAGCTTTGTTGCGGTGTGGACAGTTGTAGTTGTACCAGCTTTGACATGTCTACACAAAACAAAAGGCTCCACAAATTGAAAATTGAGCACCAAAAAAGTTGAAATAGTGATGTATAAATATACTTGTGGAGCTCATGAGTCCTTACCTACCTCACCCTGACATTATCTTTAGTGTTTATTATCCTTTGCAATATGTCGCTCTCGTTACCAACCAATATGTCCTTTGCAATATGTCGCTCTCTTTACATTATCTTTAGTGTTTATTATAGCTGCGGAATCTTTGTAATTTGTACTTGTCATAAAAACTCCCCTTGACCGAAAAAAAAAAAATTATCCCCTTTGATGGGCCACCATGCAAGTTCAATGATTTAGTGCTCTGAATGATCTTAGGAATATATACGATGCCAATATTTCACCATTACTAGGTCCCACTTCAGGAAATGAGGTCAACAAAAATTCAGGAAATAATGTTGTCTTCTGCATGAAGACTAATTGGTGTTCTTAAACTATATTTCAATAAAAAGAAATAAATATTTGCTAATCATTGGTTTACTTCTTTTGTATATTTTGTTGAGCATATCTAAAACAGTGATTAGCGTCATACTAATTGATAGCTTCTTCTGATATTTATTTGCATTTTGTTAGTTTACTTGGTGTTTTTTATTTTATGTGATTAAACTAATATGTCAAATATATACTTTGCAGGTGTAAAGATAATGGGAAATCCAGAGCAGAATCATACAAGTTCACAAACCAGAAGCTACGAGACTTAGGGTTGGAGTTCACCCCAGTCAAACATACCCTGTATGAAACTGTCAAGAGCTTGCAGGAGAAGGGCCACCTTCCAGTCCCTACAAAACAAGAACAAGATTCCATTAAAATTCAATCTTACTTATAATTGTATAAAGAGAAAAGAAGCATGCGTATGTTCAAGTCCTTAATTGTTTGTTTGTTTAAATACTTATCTTATTTTGGTCCCTATAATAAAGCTGCAACGGTATTTCTAATACTAGCTTCAAGTGGAGGGCACAGTTTTCAGGAAAGATGTTTGCATTCCCATTTCTGAATTCTGAGAACCAAAGAAATTTTTGTAATGAAGTCAATAACTCTTAAGCCAAAGTATCTTTTATCTTTGGAAACGGTTAATTTTCTGACTTCTGTTCGTAATTTCCAACTAATTCTAGATTTGCATGGTATAAGTTGAGGAAAACATCCCCATGATAAGGAAAGATTTTTAGTGTATCAGGAATATATCTTCATATATCAAGTGTTATTATACAAGTAGATAAACACTTGAAAAAATAATAATTTCTCACTTATTTTATGACACTTGAGTACCGAGCCGTATTCACAGTATACTGCAAAATCTCTTCATATAAGCAAATGGATAAAAAGAAATTTAAAAGGAAAGCAAATACGATTGTGGAAAATTGTTTTAACAGTTTGGAATTTTCAATGTACTATTAATACGAAGGTGTGATCTTTTATCTCAATATACTTCAATACAATTTAGGAAGTTACCACTTAATATGTAATATTATAGAACGACAATTACTTTTTCTGACGTGCGACAATTGTATTTGATTCACAATTCCTAACAACGCTCTTTCTATCACATAAGTGAGAATATTTGTTCAGTTCGGACGGAACCGGATCCCTTCCGGATCCCAATAATTTGAGCTTAAGGATCAAATGATATGAGCTGTTGAAATTTGATTCAACGGTTACAAACAAGGAGTCTCTCTAAAAGTTATAATAATTGTAATAGTTTGATTAAATTTCAAAGGCCTAAATCAAATAATTATTGAGCTCAAATTATTAGAATCCGATGAGGCAACGTGCCAACTCTAACTACAACTTCATTTAAGAGTTTAATTATTTGAACTGGTTTAGGACTTTGAGGCCTCAAATTCCTCCTAATAAGGAATGGATGCCATTGTAGGGCGGCCAATTGGATGACTCAAAAAGGGGTGGAATAATAGAAGGGAAAGATATATACACGTAACCTACCGACCAAGGAACAATTGGTTGGTTTCTTGGTGAAGCACGTGCGGTGCGAAGTTGGTCGATTAATTATATTGTTAAACAGTCATAAATATTCAATTGTAATGCTGACCCTTTCAAAGGAAACTCCACTATATGAGGACCAAACAAAACCCATGATCCCATGCGTACGTATTTCGTAAGCCTGCATGAGCATTATACCATATAAATATTAATATGGAAAGGGTTTTCAGTCATTTTCGCATTACACACATCTCTGGTTAATACTAACTCTTTATTTTATTTTATTATTTAATTCGATGATCATAAATTCAGAAAGTTGTGTTAAAAGTTAAAATAAGTATACGAAAATTACTTTCCTATATATATATGTATATATATGTGTGTGTGTGTAATAAATATAGGTAAAGGCAGTGACAAATCCAAGATTTAAACCTTGGGGATCCTAGTGTTAAATACAAGTTTTTTAGATAGGAAAAGAGAGTGAAGCGCTCCAAAAAAAAAAAAAACAAAAAAAAATCAATTTATTCACTTGGTGGGCTTGTTATGCACATGTCAACAAATATCGGCATGCGTCGAAGCAATCTGATGAGTAATATAGAGAGAACTTGTCGAGTATTGTCAACGCAACATGTTGAAATATGCCTAGCATGTATTGCACTGAACATTTAATAGGCACAAATGGGACCCGTAATAAGATTCGGAAGGTCATCGGAAAACCTTCACATGTATATTTTTCAAACTCGGATGGTCCTGGGACCACCTTGGTCCCTACTTCCATCCACCCCAGGGTATAGGGAAGAACATATTACAAATAGTGTGCATATTTGACCGTATGTATTGGCCATATAGGAAGGGTTGAAAAGGTACCACAATGTTGCTGCTGCTAAACAAACATCCCATACTGCCATTAAAAAAGGGGGTATTTTTTCTTCGAAGTTTCACCCATGTAATGTACGTACTCAAGTTCAATTCTAACCCCCACCAACTGTATTTAATTTTATAGTTGCATAGACTCGTAACTCCAATCTCCAATATTACAAGCAATTTTCTCCTCCGTCTCTAGACTTTCCTTTATATTTTCCCCCCTTTTCTGCAGTATGCATTGAGCAGATAGATTGATGCCGGTGGTGTAATATATTTGACGTTTAGAACGAGTCATCTTCTACATACAATAAAACCTTCTGTATACACACACAGATATATATATATATATATTATATAGCTATAACATTGAGACCGAACCAATTTTATTACTATTACTTAATAGAGGCGTAATTAAAAAAAAATTATTCTTTTACTTAGCTATTCTTAATGAATGTTGAATAAATACAAAGAACTTCGTGTAGTGAACGATGTTAATTTTCAAGTTCTAACATTAGAAAAGTAGACACCTAATTATTCAAGAGAGACCTTTTTTCATGCAAAATGTTGTGTTTAAAAAATCACTCGAGAAATATGAAGTATTTGATAGATTGCTATGAGTTTGGTCTGGTAAACAAAGGATTTGCTAGAGGATGAGTATTAAATTATGATCTATTTTGTCAATGTGAAACATTTGTCACATGAACTAATAGGGATTTTACCACTCGCAAAAGGGTTAAAAACTCCTATATTACTTGTAAGAATGACAAGGTTATTGTAGTATAAACGGTTTTTGCAAGGTCGTTCTTCACATGGATTATTAAATAATTCGAAGCAAACCAAATTCCAATTAACTATTGTAAAGTAGAAATTGAGATGATTGATTTTATAACCAACTTAAATTAAAACAAATTTAATTAATAAAAGTAAACTAATCTACAGTATTAAAGGTGAAGAAAAAGGAAACAGTTTTGGAGAAATCAGATTAAGAAAGCACTAGGGATCCACCGTCACCTTAACAATCCTATATAGTTCTCTCAATTACTTATGACTTATACATGCATATTTCGAAGGTTAGGTTTTCCTAATATATGCCTACTTGGACCCCCAACATAGAGCGTATATCAAACATGCAATACGTCTGTGGTATTCATATCAAATCTAAACACGCATGACTCCTTAAGTTCTGTGAAATCTTTTGAAAAATCATACAACCCTTAAGACGTGGAAGTGAACTTGCACATATTAATCATAAGAAGCCTTCGTCAATTTCAGGGACCGGCCCCCGACCAAAATTGCATCAAATTACTTTTCTAAACATCCTAATGGTGATCAAGCATCAAGATAATTAGATAGTTTAAATTAGTACCTGTATGCATATAATCATAAGCAAATTGAAGAGAAACTATATATTTTTATTAAGGTTCGTGGCCTCACCCTAGCAAAAAGAGAATTAGTTACGCATATTCATAATAAAAATCATAAAGTTCTTTATTGAAATAATAAAAGATCGAAAACACCTAGAATGGAAAAAGTCTGAAAATCTCTACACTTGGCCAATTTCCTCTCTTCCAGAACGCATGGAGAAGTAACAAGAATAAAGCCGGCCAAGCTTATTTAACCTATCAGAAATTAAATCCTCCTAATAAAAGGTCTTCCAATCAAACTAGGAAACTAAATACTAAAATAAAATAAAAAACATAACCCTAAATTAAATGGTAAAATTCGCCTAAAATCTGAATAGCCACGTTTTGGACCCCAAAACTGCTCCAAAACCTGCCCAATATAGTTGGATTTAAGGCTTGAAATATTCTGAACACTTATCCAGAAGGCCACGAACCCATCAGACGTCATCTTGGGCTCCAAAATGCAATTTAATCCCATAAACGTCATTTTCCAATGCTGCGCACTGCTCCTTTATTTCATCTCCAGAAAATAACCACTTGGTAGAAAAATGCTAAATTTTGATACAAACATGCCAAAAGACACACGAACGTTGTCCAATTTGAATCACTCCAAAATTCGTCCGTTTGATCATGTTTTGCTGTAGAGGGAGTCGGATGTCCTATATTGGAAATATAAATCAAAGTATCAAAATTCTACCAAAATAATTACCAAAACACACTAAGAATAGGGTAAAATATATAATATGAAATTGACTCATCATGAACAATATACGATTTTTCTACATGTTATATACTTGTTTGGATTATAAACAAAAGACATGAGACTTTGTACCATATGGTTGGACTTACATTTGAAACCTTCCCTACACTCCTCTGATGTCATGTGAGCTCAGGTGCAACTGGTTGCATACCCTTTTCTTATCTCTCCAATCATGTGACGATAGATAAATTGTATGTAAAGTGTTACATATGTTCTCTTTGGTGTGCGAGGGTCGTCAAGGGAGACTTTCTCGTAGGCATGTTTTAAGGGATTGTTTGGTATTCAATTTGAGACTAAAAGATGGAAAATGAAAAACTAGTGGAAGTAGCTTATGGGGGAAATACAAATTATATTTGATTTATGTCAAAACACATAGACAAGAGTAAATTAAAAGCTGTGTTATTGATCTAGTTTAGACAACTATTTTCCTTTCAGGGTGCCTAATGTCCGAGAAAAACTGCGTTATTAATCTATCTTGTGCAACTACTCATCAGTCGATATCTTCGGTAGACCTTCTGAGGCAGCTGCATGCTCATAATGTCTTCTCTTTCGAGATGATACATCGATCCAGTACCCTGCTGCCCAGTTTCCGTTTGCCTACTTTCAGGTGTTGATAGAGCCAAAAGATGCGTAGCCTCCTTGTTTTTACGGAACACCAGATACGCGATGCCAGCCAAATACAATCCCATACCAGAGAATCCTAATATTCCAAGAAAGACAGTGCCCACAACTTTGAAGTGGCTGTGAAGAAGCAACTTGCTAAATCTACTCATCAGGTAGTATACATTTATGGCCATCAGCAGAGAACCAATCATCCAAGTGAGAGCTGAAATCTGCAATCGGAGACATATAACATGGCTGATAAAAACGATT